CATTTTCCCTAAATGGCTATAATACTACTTAAGAAAATGAGCAAATATCTTGTTTTTATTCAAATTCCTTCCGCTAATCCCGAAATGACTTCTTCAGACGGGGTGTTCAAACTGGAATCCAATCGAGGACCAAGAACTGGATTTGGTCGCTGTGTCTTAAGCACCTTCAACCTAGAAGAGATCCCTGCTCGTCCGTTTTGTCACATTTCTTACGGTTTTGCCGACATTGCTTTGAAGAACTCTGACAGTGTTGACTGTCCCACCTTAAGATGTCTGATTGTTTCCTTGTGGTGTCACTTGTCCCTTAACCCCTGTAATACCTGCAAACAGGGAGTCCAGTCTAGAGGCGCGACCACCTCCCGGTTGACATTTGGTCTGAATGCTTCCCGGCGCTGCCGACTCTGCCTGCAGAACCCATGGGAACCCGAGGAAACTGGACGCGCTCCCTAAGCTAACCAGCCTTCCGCCTCCTCCCGCCCCCGCCGTAGTACAGTATACAGAACGTGAAACTCACCATGTCAACCCTTTTAAAGTGGACGCTTTGGTGGCATCACATGCATTCACACCATTCTGCCGCCATCCCTGCCGTCCATCTGCAATTGTTTCACATCCCATATCACAGCTTTATCTTGCAAAATGTCTTCCATCTCACCTTGTAGATTTTTTAAATCAATAGCTGGGAACTTTTGAAAAATGTATTCATTTGAGAGAGAGAGAGAGAGAGAGAGAGAAGCATTGATTTGTTGTCCCTATTATCGATGCACTCATTGGTTGAGTCCTGTATGTGCCCTGACTGGAGATCGAACCTGCAACCCTAGAGTGGCAGGGCAGTGCTCTAACCTTATACTTTTGAAGAATCAATGAAAAGCAATTCCCTAGCCCCCCACCCCCAAACCACTTGGCGGCCCCGAGATTCGTGGTGAGAGAGGACTAGTGCCTCGTGGGTCTGTGAGCTGGTCCAGGCCTCCCTGGCTTAGCTCAGCTCCAGGCTGGGAAACTGCAGGGTTTGTCTCCAACGGTGGGGCGGGGGGGCAGGCGAATTCTGAGGGGCGGTGGGGCCTCCAGATTCACTCCAGCGCTCCCCTCTGTTCCGGCCATGACTCCGTTAGGGAGGCTACAGGCCCCCCACCAAACCCTCTGGGGTCTCCGCTACTTTCTGCCCTTCCACCCAGGACCCTGTGGCTTCTCTGAGCCTCTACACGACCCTCAGAGTGTGGTGAGGGGAATTGGAGCCCCTTCCTCCAAAGCGAGGCTGCTCCCGCTTGGGCAGATGGACGTGCTTGCTGGTCGTAGGGCAGCACTGCCCCAGCCCATGTGGCAGAACCAGGTTCTTTGCAGCACAACTGGCTTCAGAGGAGGAGTTTGACTTTATCAGGAGTTTCAGCCGTGCGGAGTGGACAGGGCCCCCGTCTGCCTTAGCTCCATCCCCGGATGGGCTCCCTCAAGGAGCCTGGGCTGACTCCCAGGGGACCTTCCTTTCGTCCTTGGGTTCCCACGGCAGTGAATGGACCCAGCGTTCCGGACCATCTCCACGGGCCGAGGCGAGGGGTTTCCGGGCTCCGCGCAGTCCTGATAAGGCAGGCCCGGGCCACGCCTCACTGGCTCTGGCCCCCAGCTTGGCTCTCAGCCAGAAAAGGGAGGCCAGCTCCTTGGGCGGTGAGGTTGCTCTGGCCCTGGACATGTTTCAGGGAGCGCCGCTGGTGGGGGCAGAGTGGGGCTGGGACACAAGCTAGCAGGGGTTGGTGGGATGACGGGGCAGGGGTGAGGCAAGCCCCCCCCCGCCCCAGCCCTACCCTGACATTTCGGTCTCCATCGCTAAACCACAACCTTCTCCCCGCAGAAAGCAGAGGGCTCGCTCCATCAGCTGTGTGATGTCCAGCAACTGAACCTCTCCGAGCTGTAACAACGAGGGTAACGAAGCTATACCCAGGAAGGTTTGGGGGAGGTTAAATGTGAATGCTCCGAGTGCCACGGCCGACTCGCAGGAAGTGTGAGATAAACCTGGTTTTCTTTCTGCTCATTTCTCTGTAGCGGCATTCCACGAATCACTGCGGTCGGACGGAGGAAGCTAGGCAAGCTGGCAGTTCCCAGGAGGGTGGAGAGGCCACCCTGGTCTCTTTGTGCCCAGAAATACTGCCACAGATGGACAGCTCCTCCCAGGGACCACCACGTAACAGTGTGGTATCGAGTCCTTGGGCAAACGGCTGCCGTGGAGGAGAGACAGTGTCCCCAAAAGACCCACCCCTTACCCAGAACCACCAAGGACACACATTCTTTGTGTCAGTAAACATTTCCCAACCTGAGACCGCAAGGCTCCTTGTCCAGCTAGAACTGGAGTTGCCCAGATGCCTCAGCTGCTTTTTCAAAGGGGAAGGACATCTTCATTGTCACAGTCCTGCTCAAACAGAAACCAGAGTCCTAGAGCAGGAGAGAGGTGACTCACGTGGGAGCCCCCTTCCATCCAGTTCAGTGAGAATCTTTGGGGGCGGGGCCAGCTTTGGGTATTATTTCAAGTTTCCAGGTGCTTAACCGGGGCTAAGTACTACTGGTCTAGTCCAGCCTCCTCATTGTAGACAGACAAACACAGGGAGAAAAACAACCCTGGAAAGGTTAAAGGAAATATTTGAAGCGACAGAGTATAATGTAAAAAGTAAGTTCCCCAGGAGGGACGCTATTATGATTTCATTATTTCCCTCATTGCTCTAGTACAACGATTTTCAACTTTTCAAAAAAAAATCTCTTGGCACGCTTAAAGTAAGCACTACAATTCTGCGGCACACCAGGAAAGTCAGGGTGCGCACTCAGGCCTCAGAGGCTGGCGGGGAGTGGCGCTGGCTTGGCCTGGCCTGGCCCTCCGTTGCCCAAGGACGTCCTTCATTCTGCTCCGTCACAGGGAGGAGGCTGCCTGTCCCCACCGCATTTGGGAGACGCAGTGCAGAGCTTAGCGCTCCCTCTTACTAGCTGCGAGAGGCCCTCTGAGCCTCAGTTTCCCCATCTGTAAAGGAAAGGATATAGTGCCTGACTTGCAGAACTACTGTGAGGAGTGCACGGAATCATGACTGTCCTAGTAGGTGCTGGAAATAAGTATCTTCGCTTTGCTTTACTGGGGAGAGGGGGGAGCATCCTTCCCCCAAAGAATGGGACCCGTGGGCCCCAGGTGCAGCCTTGTCAGCCACCCCAAGGACTTCTTGTCCCCGTGGGAGGCCCAACTATAATAAGTTCCCAAACCTCTGCTTTTCTCACCTAAACTAAGGACAAGCAGTTCTAGGGAAGTTTCACTGTGGAGTGGGACAGGTTGGCACCCGAGAGCCCTTCCGTGAAGGGAGGCTGCTACTGCCCTCTGGTGGTGACCTATCTGTACCTGCACAAAGTCCCAAAGTCCTGGGAAGGAAATGGCTTGATAACGTTAAGACAATGGAATTTTAAAAAAATAACTTATTGCTACTATGCTAGTCACTAAGGATACAAAGACGGACAAAACACAGTTCTTGCCATCTCAGAACTCACAGTTTAGAAAATGAAACAAACTCTCAAAGTTTACACAGCACCTTTAGGGTGCTGGGCATGTGAGTGGCTCTAGAGGCCAGTCAGGCAGGAGGGCACGATTTGGACAGTGTACAAAGACCACATGATCTGATGGTCTTTCTTAAACCCATTGGCTCAGAGACTCAGCATTGGACGGAAAGGCAGCCAGTCCGAGCAAGAGTTTAAGTTCACCTTTGCCGTTACAACCAGCAATAGGTACTGCTCCACTCAGGGTCACCACCTTTCCTACAACTGAGGATTCTTTTTATTCATTAAGAATATCCCCCACCCCATGCACATACTGTAAAAGTAATATAGAAATACAGAATGTAGAAAACTTAGAAAATGTAAAACTTAAAAAAAATGACCATAATCTCACCACCCAGGGACAATCACAGACAAGTTTCATGCACAGTATTAGCTTAACAGTTTAGAAATAGACATACGAGTAGAAAATTTAGAGATGTCACTGTATGTGCTGTTAGCAGTCTTTTTTTTTTTTAAAAAAAAAATTAACAGTACATATAAAAATATTATTTTAAAAAAGCACATGACATTCCTTTCCCTTGGGTACCATACCTTAATCATTCCCATTTGAGCCGTTTCCAAGTTTCCTCAAATTAAAAAAAACTCTATGATGTACATACATCTTTTATTTGGATGTTTACCTTCAAAGAAACTCCTATAAGTTACTGGGGCAAAAGGAGTGAACTTTAAATTTTTAATAAACTACAGAAAATTAAAGTCTTCGCATTGGATTCTACTCCGTAGAAGGTCTAGGATGGCTTCAACCCAGTTGGATTCAAACCATCTCAAATTCCTGCCCGGTGCTGTTTTCAAGGACTTAGTAAACATCTCCTAGAGGAGCGGTCCCCAGCCTTTTTGGCACCAGGGAGTGGTTTCATGGAAGACAATTTTTCCACTGCGAGGTGGAGCGATGGTTTTTAGGATGATTCAGGCGCATTCCATTTCAGCTCACCTCCTGCCGTGTGGCCGGTTCTTAACAGGCCTGGATCGGTACCGGCCCGCGGCCTCAGGTTGGGGATCCTGCCCTCGAGGTCTGCAGTGGCACCTGCGCACTATCGCCCAAACGCAGTCTGCTTCCTCGAAGGGAAACTTACGGACGCGGCCCTAGCACCACCTCTTTAAATTTTAAAACGAAGGCCTAGGCCAATCAACGTTAAGTGTTTCCCGGAACACAGAGCCCCGCCTACAGGCATGCCCTCCACCAATGAAGCAGAGGTTTTACCCCAAGCCCTCCCAATCGACGCCAAGAAAGACAGTCGCATACGTAAATTACGTAAGGGAAAGGGCCAATAGGAGCTGAATTTGTAAGCTGGCTCCGCCAATGGTAGTATTTCCTGGAGAGCGCGGGAGCCTTTTGACCAAGATAGCGAAGAGAGGTGAATGGCGGTGGTTCCCTGAAGCAGGATTCCTGGGAAGAGCCCGGGCGCTCGGGCGGCGGCGCAGCCGACATGGCCTGTTGTCACAACGTAATGCTGTTGCTGGATACGGCGGGCGGCGGCGCCGCCGGCCACAGCCCGGCCCGGCGGGCCGCCCTGCGCCTCCTCATCTACCTCAGCTGCCGATTCGGCCTGGCCAGGGTCCGCTGGGCCTTCCGGTTCTTTGACTCTCTGGGGGCGCGGAGCCGGCCCCCCCGCGTGTCCGACTTCCGCGAGCTGGGGGCCCGCTCCTGGGAGGACTTCGAGGAGGAGCTGGAGGCCCGGCTCGGGGACGGCGCCCCCGGGGCCCCCCTGCCCGGCCCGGCGCCCAGGGCCACCCACACGCACAGCGCCCTGATGGAGACGCTGCTGGACTACCAGTGGGACCGGCCCGAGATCACGTCGCCCACCAAGCCGGTGCTGCGCAGCAGCGGCAGGCGGCTGCTGGACGTGGAGAGCGAGGCCAGGGAGGCCGGGACCGCGCTCGGGGGCTTTGGGAACGCCGTCTTCCTGCTGGCGCCCTGTCCGCACTCGCAGAGGGAGCTGCTGCGGTTCGTGTCCGGCTGCGAGGCCCAGGCCCAGGCCGAGGGCCCGCCGCCCACCGCTAAGCAGGTGATGGAGAAGCTGCTGCCCAAGAGGGTCCAGGAAGTCATGAGCGCCCGGAAAGTCACCTTGTACTGGGTGGACACCACCGAGAGGTCGCAGGTAGGTCAGCTGTCGTGCGCGGTGGTCGCTTGGTTACGCAGACTCGACCGTGAAAGAGGTAACCCCTCGCTACCCGCTCCGTCTAAGTGCTGGCAGCGCGGACGCGGACCGGACCTCGGTCCCGCTAAGAATTCAGTGCCAAGACTGACACTATTAGAGAAAGAAGACAGGGGCTCAGGGAACAAGTTGCGGGGGCAAAAGAAGGGGCGCTTGGAGCTTAGGAGAGGGAAGGGGGAAGGTAGCGTGGTTGGAGGGGGGGAAGGCGGGCGGGCCCCTGGGGCGGGCGAGGGGGAGCGGGGCGGCCGGGCCCTGTCCCGGGGACTCAGGGGACGTCCGCGGGGTGGGCGATCAGTAGACTGTTCCTCCTTCCCAGGTGTCTCCTTTCAGGGGGCTGGTCTCCACTGACTGGTCAGCGCCGGGCAGGGTCGTTAGTAGCTGCAGCTGGTCCCGATGCCCGCTGACCTTAGCCGGGAGCCTCGCGACGCGCCAGGCGAGGACAACGGGGAGCTCGCCCCCAGGACCGTCTGCCCTCCCCGTTCTCGCTTTCTTTTCGGAATAGTATCACCATAACTAGGTTGACAGGGTCGTTGTTTGTTTTTAAATTCTGAATCTTTTCTTTTTTAATTTATATTTCGTTGATTATGCTATTACAGTTGTCCTGATCCCCCCCCTTTGCCCTCCTTCACCCAGCACCCCCCCCCCCACTCTCAGGCAGGCCCCCCACCATGGTTCAGGGCCGCGGGTCTCGCTGTCAGGTCTTTGGCTGCTCCATTTCCCATCCTGTACTCGACAGACACCCCCCCCCTTCTGTAACCACCCGTGTGTACTTCACCCCTCAGGCTCTCCCACGGCCCCCTCCCGTCTGCCAGGCATCAAAACGCCTTCTGTACCCACGGTTCTGTCTCTGTTCTTGTTTGCTGAGTTTGTTTTTTTAGATTCAATTGTTGATAGATGCATTTTTTTTTATCATTTTATTCATACTTTTGATCTCTTTGTTAAATAAGGCCCTTTAACAATTCCTATAATAGTGGTTTGGTGATGATGACCTCCTTTAGTTCCTTTTTGTCTGGGGAGCTTTTTACCTGCCCTTCGATTCTAAATGATAGCTTTGCTGGGTAAAGCAATGTTGGCTGTCGGTGACAGGATGTTTTTAAAGGTCCCTTCCAGTTCTGATATTCCACCATCTGATGGGACGGGTCTTTTCCGAGGCTTCTCACATCTGTTCGGTGGTTTTCCCCCCAAAAATGCCTGCCAAGTAATCTTAAGCTTTTCTGGAAAAAAAAAATTTTCTTTGTGATGATCTGTCTTGTCTTGTTCAAAAGCCTCTGGCCATCCACACTGTGGAGGCAAAAGGGAGCCTTCAGCTCTGTCCTTGGGGAGCTCGCCACCCCGGGAGGAGAGGGAAGAAGAGAAAATGCAGGGCCTCTCCTGCAGAGCTCGGTCTGGGAAGACGGACCCCGGGAGGCACAGCCCGGACTCCAGATGGGGGAGGGGGCCACATGCATAGCTCTCTCACGAGGACACAGCACAGGAGACCCCAAGCATTTCTGACTTCATGCTTCTGATGCACTCGATACATACTTCCCACACGCCTGCTGGGCGCACTGGTCAGCCAGACGGATGTGGTCCCTGCTTTCTGGGAGCTCATATCTTAGATAGTTATAAATCCCCAAATTTGAAACTACCAACCACTAGGAAATGACAGTCACTTGCCCTATCATATGCATAAAAATGGAAAATTTAACCATACTTTATATACTGCTTATGTTGGTTTTTTGTTTGTTTGTTTCAGCCAGAAGATCAGCAAAAAAACAATTTCAACACATTTTTTGTTTCCCTCTGGCAGAAAACCCTAGCCAGGATCTATGGTAGCTGAACTTGCAAGCCATTCTCCCCTATAGCAGTGAGAGCAGGCATGGACACATGGCTGGGGACAGCAAAAACTAATTGACTGATTAATCTCTTACAGCATTTTCTAAACTGGTATGCGTACCTGAAACCAAAGTTTCACAGTACATCCTTTTTCTTCACTGCGTGTGGTATTTTCTATGGTGCTCTGATTTTTTTCTATTTGTGGGTTTTTGGTTTGTTTTTGTGTGTGTTTGTTTAATGTTGACTATAAACCACACAGTTGATCCATCATAGGACACATCCAGGATCATCAGAGGGTCATAAGCCTCTTTTATTTTTTTATTTGTTTAAAGATTTTATTTAGTTTTAGAGAGATGGGAGGGGAGGGAGAAAGAGAGGTAGAGAAACATTGATATGAGATAGAAACATGGACCAGGTGCCTCTCGCACACCCCAACTGGGGACTGAACCCACAACCGGAGCATGTGCCCTGACCAGGAATGGAACTGGCGACCTTTTGCTTTGCGAGACGACACCCAGCCCCCTGAGCCACACTGGTCAGGGCACAACCCTCGTTTTAAAAGCTCAATCCAAGATAGCCCTGGCCCTGGGTTCTTAGACTCGTCTCTCATTGTCTTGCTTTGATCTGCGGCGCTCTTATGCCCGCTCTGAGCGTGAATGTCATATTGCGGGAAGTTCGACAATGACCTAGCAATTTATGGTCTCCAGTCGTGGGTACCTGTGGAGTAGGAACCCAGCGCGATGATCGTTTTCTAGGGTAGATGCTCCTCCTTCCTGTTCCCGCAGTTCCTGAATATTGTCATGTGATATTGTGATGCTGAGTGAAATATTCTGTTATTGCTGTTTTACTCACTCTCGCCCCCAACTTTAAGATTCTAGAAGACCGAGAATATGCCTTGCTAGTTCACGGTACATAAAGGCTGCTGTTTGTTGAATGAAGAGTTGGCTGTGTGTGAAGGCATAAGGAATGGCCTTTACAGAGAAAGCAGGGTTCGAGCTGGATACTCTAATTAACCTCCAGCGGGTAAACAAGGAAGGAGAAGGGACAGGAAACAGAATCAGCGGGAACGTGGAAGCATTATAAAATACGGTGTGTTCAGGAAGCCGCAAATGGTCCTATGCGCCCAGAAGGTAGGGATGCATGTGGAAGAGAAAAATGTGTTTGGAAAGGTTCAGGGTTCGGGCGTGAAGGGCTTTGCGGCTGTGCTGGAATTCCTGCAGAGCGGAGGCCATGGGAAGCCTTGGAAGCTTCTCGAGAAGCAGCACGCGCCAGATAGGTGAATACTTCTTGGGCCAGCGTGGGGAAATGTGAGAGGCCAGGCATGGATTTCATATGGAGGTGATGAGAGCTTTAAGCTGGAACTGAGGCCTGCTGGGGGGCCGGCCGCCCCTGTGGGGAGGGCGAGGTGGTGAGGCGCGCCTTCCTCCCATGGTCCCTGCCCACTTAGGTTGCATGGGCCAGGATTCTTTCACTGACGTATCACGGTTTTGTATTCCTCCTGACTCTTAACATTTTATGATGGAGCCCCTAGTGATTCGCATGCCTTCTGTTTCTTGACAGGAAATAGAACTGAAGTCGTATTTTCCCCAGATGGACTCTTTCTTGAAGGCGTATTGTGTAGTCGTCATACTCTTGGGCTGCACCGTAATAGGATGCGGGCCACTAGTTGTGCTTGGTTCAACAAATACATTGATTTTGTCTTTTGATCCTTGAGTGTAGAAATCAACTTTACTTTCTCCCTGATTTCCCTTAGCTTCATTTCTGAATGTCTACTTTAGAATAACTTGAGGTTCTTCATAATTTCGTTTTAGTTGTGGGAGTCCCCAGACCACCTCGGGTACTGGACTGTATGTGAGCTGCTCGACCGTGTAGGAGGCGCTGTCTTGCCTTCGGAAACTTGGAGCCAGGATGGTACGAAAGCTGGGGACACTCTGCTTGGTGGCGAGAAGCAGCTGTCAAGGGAACCTCGCCTCTCTTCCTGGATTTCCACTCTGCCAACTGATTCTACTTTACACTGTTTGCTCTACAATTCTCCTGAGTACGAAGCCTCATTTCCACGGACGAAAGGAACGTTATTTCTCCCTGTTGAAGGTAAGCAAATAATGATTTTTCGGGTGTTTTAGTCTCAGTTACTGTGTATCCATTTCTTCAAGGCAGGTCCATGCTTTCAACTGCTTTAGAATTTCCGGCAGCCCAGGCACTCAAAGAGTGCTTGTGATTAAAATACGCCCCAGCGGAAAGGAGGTACCACGGGAACGGATGGCGCTCTGGCACTGCGCAGCCGCCAGCCCAAGTATGAAAAGAATGAGTGAGTGATTTCGAAGAGTTTCTCAACTGCTTGCAGAGAAAGACAGTATTGTCCAGGTGCCCAGGCAGATGGGTGGTAAGCTTCCCTTGCCTCAAAGAAGAGACGGATAAATCAACACCTCGGAGAGACCATAATTGATAAGAAGCTAGTCAAAAAAGCTGCAAGTGGTGCTTGTGACCAGGAAGTGCCAGCAGGCTGGACTCCGCCTAAATTTGCTTTATTCACTATATAGTGAAGCTCATTTTTGAATCATTGTGTATTCACACAGAAATAATACTACATAGAGACATGAACAAAACTGTGGTATACAGTATGTGCAGTTTAAGGAAATTTTGAGAGTAGTTCCGTGTAAGCAGTTTCATGTTTAGAATTTAATTGCCCCCTAAGACAGGCTATGCACTGTATTGTGTGGATTTAAGAAGCGATGTCTTATTTTTTGTAAGTAGCGATTATTGCTTAACTATTTATTTCTGAGTCACAATTACCGAGGAGTTCTGACGTCAGACCTTGCCCTTGTGCCTCCGCTCATGGCCCGCTCTTCCCGCGGGAGCTCCATGAACTTGCTGTTGGCACCAGAATGAGGGCTGAGTGGGAACTAAGTGGCAATACTAGTACCTCACCTGACAATCTGGCTTCTTTCTTCTTACTATTAAATCTATTATTAGTAACTATTTATTACAACAGAATGTTGTTTATTGCATTAGATATTCTTTGTTTCTAACAGGCAAAGGGGTTCAAGAACCATGTGCAGTTGCCCTGGAGCCCCTGACCATGCATCAGAGACATTTTCAGAAACCAGCCAGGATTTTTGTGACAGGCACAGCCGCCCAGTGGTCTCTGCCGATGAGCGACGCTGTGGGCTCCGAGAGCTGGCTGCTCCAAAGTCCGGCGGAGAGCACATCAACCCAAAAGGCGCTGTTTGGGCAGCTGGTGAACAGGCTGAGTGCCGAAGAGTTACACCTGGTAGGTCCCTTCCCTGTACTCGGCTGTTCTGCCCAGGGACACACTGGTAAAGTGAAGTGCCAAGGACTTCCCTGCACAATGCAGCCTCGGCGACACAGGTGTTGCTTCTGTAAATAATATTGTCTACATCATAGCATTGTGACGATGCTCATTGATAAACAGTTTATAAAATTCCATGTGCCTTGGATCCCATGAAGTTACATTATATTCACGTAAGAAAAAAGCCTGTGGGCCGAATGCCATGATGGTACCAGGGTGGTAAAGTGATGGGTCCGTAGCGCGCCCCACCCCCCAATCTGCGGTTTCACTTTCCACGGTCAAATGCAGTCTGAAATAGTACATGGAAAATTCCAGAAGTAAGTTTTCAATTGCAAGCTTTTCTGAATAATGTGGTGAACTCTTGCGCAGTCCTGCCCGGGATGGGGATCCTCCCTCTGTCCGGCGTCACTACACTGTGCACACGCCCCACCCATTAGCTCAGTGGCCGTGTCAGTTAACGGAGTGGCTTCTCGGTGTCACAACACTTGTGTTCCGTGGCCCTTGTGTCACTTAGTCGTGGCCCCAAAGCGTAAGGCTAGTGATGCCGGCAGTTCAGAGAGGCTGGCGGTGCTTCCTTCAGGGGAACAGGCGAGGGCCGTATAGGGAGGTGTTCTGAGGGAGACAACCCCCGTTCACGTCAGTTTTATGACAGTATATTAAGATTGTACTATTTTAATGTTGGTTGTTGTTAACTTCTTATCGTGCCTAGTTTATAAGTTAAACGGTATCATAGGTATGCGTGTCTAGGAAAAAACCGTGTACACGGAGCGCGTGGTGCTGCGCAGCTTCAGGCACCCACTGGGGGGCTTGGAACCCCTCCCCCATGGAGAAGGGGGGCCACAACATGTATTTATTACTGCTGTGTAAAAAATTACGTCTCATTTTTTCAAAGCCTGTAGTTAAGCATGGGCTTGGGATTCATACACACTGGGCTTCTGCCCCTCACCGACCGGGTGACCTTCAACGGTCACTTATTCCTCAGCTCCAGCCCCTCCTCAGTGAAGTGGGGGTGGCATCACCGTTGCCTGGATGGCTGAGAGGGTACGGCGCGTCATCATGAGCACACGGTGCACGCTCTGTGCGTACTCCTGGGGGCCCCCGGCTACTGAGCCGTTAGCGTTATGTGATCTCTAAGTTCACTTCTAGCACTAATACCCTTAAGCGCAATCTGTACTCTAGTTCTTTGTACTAGCAATCACTGGGAGGGGCCTACTGTTTCTTTTCCTAAGCTACGATCTTTATGCATCTGTCAGCAGTGTTCCCGGCTAACCGGAACTTCCTGTGTAGGTTGCCAGTGTCGACCCCGGGGACGGCTGGCCCCCCGTCACCGGAGTCCTGGGCCCCTTCTCTGCCAGCGCTATGGTCCTCACTGTGTTCCGTGCAGAGGAGGCTGGATTTCAGAGGCACCTTCTCCCGGCAGTCGTGGCAGAGAACCTCCAGGACACAGCGTCCCTCTTCCCCGCTGTTGTGGATGTTGCATTGCATCAGATTCGCGACTTACTGGGAGATCCTGTTGCCTCTGGTTAGTTCTGAACCAATAACCAGCGTGCCCAGGGCACTGGTTTGCAGCCACTTCCACATCAGGAGGGCTGTCTCCACTGTGCTCTTAGTAGAACTCCGTTATCTTATTATGAAAGAGGTGAAAGCAAACTGGCACTTCAGGCAGTTTAAGTCATCTTTGCATACAGAAGTCCTGAAGCACCCGAGACCAGATTTAAATCAAGGGCATAATAGGAAACCTGATTTGTTAACGTATTTAATAAAGACCACATGTAAAACTGTTGGGATTCTGTCTACCTTCCAGCTGGTGGCTTTGCTATTTACGCTACGTAAATAAAAATAAAAATTATTTTGATATTCTGTTTATTCAACAGATTTAGTGCCTGCCTGCTGTGTGTCAGACACGGTTCTAGGTACTGGGAATACAACAGTGAACAAAATAGACAAAGGTCTCTATTCTCATGGCATTTACCATTTGTTGGGTGGGACAAGACAATAAATACATCAGGGGATTATATGGTGTATTTGAAAGCGATAAGTCCTGTATAATAAACAGGAAAAAGGGAATGGGCACGTGAAGGAGGGGTTGGAGGAGGTTCAATTTTATTTTAAAAGATTTTTATTTTTTGAGAGGGAAAGGGGAGGAGAGAGAGAGAGTGTGGTTGCCTCTTGCACACCCCCTACAGGGGGCCTGGCCCACAGCCCAGGTATGTGCCCTGACCCTGGAATCGAACTGGTGGCCACCCATTTCGCAAGCCTGTGCGTAATCCACTGAGCCACACCAGCCAGGGCTGGAGGGGGTGTAATCTTAACAGGCCTTGCTGAAAAAAGGCAGTATTTGAGCCCAGGCTTCAAGGAAGCATAGGGAGAGGGCGTTCCTGACAGAGGCCGTGGGCCCCGCGTGTCTGCTGCGTGTGCTCGCTTTCCGCGTAGCGGTATATGTAGACACAGGCCCGTCGGGGCTGGTGCAGAGGAATGTAGTTAATGTCGCTTTGTATGTCCCTGGGGAGAAGGCGGTGGGTCCCCAGTGGGAGTCAGGGCGGGGATCTCCTCTTTGGTTCTCACGCTTCTCTTCCTCCCATCTCTGCTCCGGTCCCTGCAGCGCCTCCCGGTCCAGAGTGGGCCCAGCAGGAACTTGGCCGTACGGCGCCCTGGACGCCTGCCGTGGCTGAGCGTTGGTTTCCCTGCTCCAACCTGAGCGGCGCCAGTTCCAGCTTGATGGAGTCATTCTGGTAAAACGTTTTCTATTTTTCTGGGTATTGATAATTACAATTGGAGTTGGGTTGGTTTGTGTGTGTGTGTGTGTGTGTGTGTGTACAGCCCACGTTTTATGAGTAGAGTTCAGTAATATTAAAAACTAATTACAAAAGGAGAGTATTGTTTAATGGGTATACAATTTCAATGTTACAAGATGAGGAGAGTTCTGGAGACACATGGCAGTGATGGTACCACAATGTTATGAATATACTGAATACCGGTGAACGGTGCGCTTAAAAGTGGAGAAGATGATATGCTATGTGTATTTTACCACCTTACAAAACTTGGAAACAATTACAGGAATAAAAGGTTCTCTCATGTTATGGATGTGACAAAACATTTAGTATGACATCTCTACAAATGAAAAATACCAAACTTGTATAATGCAGCTAAGTTTATACTTGAAAGGAAATTTGCAGACTTACGCTGTCTTTTAAAGAAGAAAAATTAAGAATGAATTAGCTAGATGTCCAGCAGAAAGTAATACGAGAGTAAACCTAAGAAATAAAGAAGGCAGGCAATAGTAAAGATAAGAATCAAAATGATTGAAGCAGAAAACAAACAATAGAAATCAACAGAGACAGAAGATGATTCTTTGAGAAGCCAAATGGAGTGATCCATAGCAGGATGGAGCAGTTGCAAGATGGAGCAATCAAACGTAAATAAACAGTGTTAGAAATGGGAAAGACATAGCAGAGACTCAGATATTATTGAAGTAGTCAAGGTTTATTTTTCCCACACAGCCATCTAGCTGTTACCACTCCTTTGTTAAAAGACACCCTTTTTCTCATTGGATTACTGTGGCCCGTTGGTCGAAGTCAGGTGACCGCCACTTTGCAGGCCTGTCTGGGCACGGGAACTATGTTAGCATCCCTTCGTCTTGAGTCCTGAAATCAGGTGGTCTAAGTCCCCTCAGCTTTGTTCCCTGCCCCCCACACCCCAATAATTGGTTTGGCTATTCTAGATCTTTTGCATTTCTATGTACATTTTAGATTCAGCCTGTTCATTTCCACCGGGCAGCCTGCTAGGATTTTTGGTTGAGTGCGTGGAGTCTGTAGGTCACTTTGGGAAGAACTGACACCTTCATAGTAATGAGTCCTCTGATTCGTGGGCACGGCACAGCTCAGCAGGGCTAAGGACAAAACAGGCATGTCTGTCCCCATGAGGTGAAAATTCACCGCAAGCAGGAGTGCAGACGGCCACGTGGTGTGGGTGTGAGGACCGACGATGGGGAGGCCAGCGGGACGGAACGGGGGCCCAGGGAGTGAAGTGGCCACCATAATTCGGCCTGTCCCCTAGGACACAAAGGTCTTATTAATAAAAATCAATACTGTGGGTGATGATGACTGGTTCTGGGAACAGGCAGCTTCTGCCCCTGAGTTTGTTCAAGTCCTAAGTGAGCAAAGGAACCTTTTTCCTCCTGAGAGTATACTTTCGAAGGCGTCTGGTGGGGGCATCTTTTGATTAGCCTGTAAAAAGCTGTTGTTGGTGCGTCCGTAGAGCAGGACTTCGGCTCTGTGCTCAACAGCCCGCCGTGTTCACAGCTTGCTGCAGGCCGCCTCCTGCAGGCGGGAGGAGCCCTCCAAGGCCGACGGTGACCTCACGCGGCGCCTGTCCGAGCTCTACCTGAGGAAGTCTCGCGAAGAATCCGCTGTGCCTAACCCGGAGGATGGCAGAAAGAAACGTGCGTGCACACGAAGGGGTGTCTGGGCAGTCTTTTTTGACATTGAATGTTTTAAATGATGGAGATTCCCTAAAATGAGGTTGAAATGGTAACTGAATAAGCAAGTTCTTGTATTTCAAATTTGGGAACAATTACAGTAGTAAAATAGCGATTTAAAAATCAGCCGCAATTCTACCTTCTTGGTGAGTAAACCATTTACTTATTTGCTTGCTTGCTTGCAGATTCTATTTATTTACTTTTTGAGAGAGGGGAAGGGAGGGAGAAAAAGAGAGCAAAACATCAATTGGTTGCCTCTCTTGCACCCCCACCTGGGGACCTGGCCCACAACCCAGGCACGTTCCCCAACAAGGAATCGAAGGGGTGACCTTGTGCTCTGTAGGGACAATGCCCGACCCAGCGAGCCACGCCGGTCAGGGTGAGCAATTTTCATTTTTAATTATAACATTTAAATACAACTTTGTGTGCCACTTAAATTATTTCATTGCCTTTTCAGTTAGTATTCCACCTCATTGCTTAATGAAACTTACCAAATTCTTCTGCTTGTTGAACATTTTACATTGTTACTTTTCTCATTATAAATAATACTGCTGTGTACATCATGCATATAATTTGTTCTTTAGCGGAAGCTTCCGGGAAAAGTTACTGCCTCGTGAAGTGGGGAAAGTAGCTCTTGGTGCAGACTTAAAGTAGTGTTTTTGGGGGGGAGATTTTCTTTAGCGGGGAGGTAACTGAAGTAGGGGTTGGTTCCCCGGGGGTAGAATTCATTTAACTTTCCTTCCCCTGATGCGTCGGCAGGGGGAGTCCCTTGCACTCCAGTGAGGCAGAAGATGAACGCCATGTGCCGCTCCCTAAAGATGCTGAATGTGGCCAGGCTGAATGTCAAGGCCCAGAAGTTGCATCCAGAGGCCAGCCCAGAGGCCGCCGGGGAGAGGGGGGCCCAAAAGGCAGCCGGCGGGAGAGCGGCGGGCAAACTGGAAGGCAGAGGAAGGGCGCGGAGCTCCAGACCAAGAGGTATCGCCACTTCCGCAGCGTTGGGTGTCGGAGGCCGTGTGTCCCCTTCTGTCCCCTCCTATTACGTGTTTCAGTCGTAGCCGTCAGTTAGCAAACACTCATTATCTGTCCCAGGCCCACCTGCGCGTTAGGGCCCAGTAAGTTAATACGATACTGTCCTCTCCTTAATGGCCCGGCTATAAAAAACAGCAATGAGCAGGTATATATTATATATGCTATGTCTATTATGTATGATATATACCTATATCAAACATAATAAGCTACTAAAGCTAATGTGTAAGAGCCAGGAGTCCACAACAGAAAATGCTTGCTCATTTGGGGAGTAAAGACGAAACGGGGGTCACCACGGGGAAGGCCGGCCTTGGCATGGTGTGTGATCCTTTTAATGTACTGCTGAGTTCGACTTGCTAATATTTTATTGAGGATTTTTACATTTATTTTCATCAGGGATATATCAACCTATAATTTTGTTTTCTTTTTTTGTAGTTGACTTTGTCTAGTTTTGGAATCAGGATAATGCTGACCTCATAAAATGAATTTGGGAGCCTTCTCTCTTCAATTTTTTGGACTATTTTAGGAAAGAGAGATGTTAAGTCTTTGAATTTGGTGAAGGTCACCTGTGAAGTCATCTGGTCCATGGCGTGCGTTTGTTGGGAGTTTTTTGGTCACTGATTCCATTTTGTTAGTAGTTATCAGTCTGCTCAGATTTTGTTACTTCCTCATTCAGCTTTGGACAATTGTACGTTTCTAGGAATTTATCCATTTCTTCCAGTTTGTCCAACTTGTTGGCATATAGTTGTAGTTTTTCCTGATAATCCTTTGCGTTTCTGTGGTGTCAGTTGTCACTCCCCTTTTATTTCTGATTTTGTTTATTGGGTGCTCCCTTTTTTCTTGATGAGTCTGGCTAAAGGTTTATCATTCTGTTTATCCTTTTTAAAGAATCATCTCTTGGTTTTATCAATCTTTTATATATTTTTTTTAGATTCTATGTTGTTTATTTCTGCTCTGATCTTTGTAATCTAGCATCAGCGGGGTAAATTTGCGAGTGAGTTTGTGCCCTGGCCTTTTAAGAGAACAACGCCTCAGGCCACAGCAGCGCTTTGTCTTGCTCAATGCAACAGACTGATCTTCACAGCCAGACAGGGCGGGGGCTAGTCTTCCCGGCAGTGAAGCCCTGGCTTGGTCGGGGCCCCTCACTCCTCAGGGGAACCTCTGCGGCCCAGAGATCCCTCAGTGTGGGACCTGCCCAGTCTATGCCTGCACCCCTCCTACCAGTCTTGACATGCCTTCTTTACACCCTTAGTTATAGGACTTCTGTTCTGCTGGTCCTCAGGTGGTGCCCAGCGTGCTCTATAATATAATTGTGATTTTGGTGTGGTCGTGGGAGGAGGCAAGCACAGTCTTTACGTACTCAGCCATCTTGGCCGGAAGTCCTCAATTTAACTTGTTTTTCCCCCAAGATTTTAAAACTGAAGAGGAGCTACAATCTTACATACATGAAAATTACCAAAAGACTGTGGCCACAGAAGAAGCCGTGTTGCATTCCTGTGCTCAGAACATGGTCTCCACCATTAAAGCGTTCCTGAAGTCCAAAGGCACCCAGGACTTGGAGGTAAGGGAGCCCGATGACGTGCGCCATAAATGGAATCGTTGCCTCGCGCTGGGTTTGGTTCACGAGTTCATTGTGCAGGGCGTGATTCAGAGGTGATAAGGTGAGCCCAGAAGTGGGCACGATTCCAGGTCTCGGAAATGGGATGTGGTGAGCTCATCAGGCAGAAATCAAGGAGACAGGTCAGGTCGGGCAGTCGCGTGCGTCTCCTTTAGTGAAAGTTCTGTCCTTACCTGAACCGCCTGGAGCTGCATGCATAAAGCCCGTGAGTGGTTCGTGATCCCGCCCACATGTCAGAGTCACCCAGGGCGCCTTTTCAGGTGCTGATGCCCGCGCCCTCTGGGTGCACTCACACAGGCCCCCGGTGCTGGGAGCTGGGCATCTACTAGCGAAGAGCTTCTCAAACGAGCCTCACGCACAGGGAGCAGTGCAAGGCACTGCTGTGGTCCCGTTACTGCTTCCGTCCATGGCTAGTGAAGCCAGGCCCCTCCTAAGTGAACAGAGTTGTTCACGTACTCCGGCGTCTCAGTCAGTACCTCATGGAATCTTCCTTTTAGCAAAGTTTAAAAAAGAACCAACAAAATTCAGACCTGCAGGCTTGCTGTATCCATGCCCAAATATTTACTATTTTTTAACCATGTTTATTTGAAAGGTTGAAAAGAAGAATATTCATTTCACTGTTTTTCATTCAAACGAAAGAAGGGGGAAAAGGGAATGAATATACTGCACTTCTTAGGGCCTTTACTGGCTGTGGAGAAGTCAGAAATAATGGACAGGAATATAACGTTCTTCTCCGTCATACTTTTGTGTTTTCAGATGAACTGCTTGAATCAAGTGAAAAATAACCTCTTAAAAACTAGCAAAAGTCTGAGACAGAATATAGGGAAAAACCTGGGTAAAGAAGACAGAGTCAGAGAGTAAGTAACTATTTTTTTTTCTTTTTGAACCGTTATTCCAAAACAAAACTCTGCAACTTGCTTGCATCCATTTAAAACAGATGGCAAACTGGTCGAAGGGGCTTTTGTCGTCCGTTCTTCCTGATCTAACATGCAGCTTGTCACCTATTTACCTGATAACCTTGTCGTTACTTAGAAGCAGCAACCGTTCTCCTTTATGTTGTTTTTTGTTAACGTGGATGTACAACCCAGGAAGGGCTTCTCGCTGAGTGGCAGTCAAAGCAGGCGTGACCGAGTCCTCCTCTCTTCCAGGTGCCAGCTTCAGGTGTTCCTCCGCCTGGAGCTGTGCCGGCAGTGCCCGTCGGCGCACGCCAGCGTGGATGACATGGAGCAGGCGGTGGAGGAGGCAAGTGTCCCGCTCGGTGCTGCTGGCCACATGCCATGGCTGCCCCCAGCTTCCCTGCAGAGAGGCACGTGCTCATTCTGTCCAATCTCCTTCAGGTGACAGATTTGCTGCGCACAGTGTGTTTAACTGAGGATTCGGCGTACCTGGCCAAGTTTCTGGAAGAAATTCTGGGCTTGTAAGTTTGAGGACCACTACCTTAACTTAAGCCTGTTTTCCCGAGAATTGCCTATGGTTGCTTCAGAGTTAGCACGAGGACCACTTCTCAGGCTGGGCGAGGGGAGGGAGCGGCGACGGGCCATGGGGACAGACTGTCCCTGCTGAACTAGCCTCTCCCGCAGGTACACAGACTCCATCCCAAAGACACTCGGGAAGCTTTACGACAGCCTGGGCTTTGTGATCCCTCAGAGGCTGGCCGGCGTCCTTCCGACGGACTTTTTCAGTGACGACTCCATTACGCAGGAGAGCAAATCACCGCTTCCTTCTGCACCTCTTCCGTCAGGAGCTCACAGGTTGGCGTCGGGCGGCACTGAGTCCGACCAGCTGGAGGAGCTTCGGACCCGATCGGCGAAGAAGAGAAGGTGGGAGCCCACGGGGCAGGAGCTCCTTGCACTGCGACAGCTCTGACAAGGGGCGTGTCTGGACCGCGGTCCAGCTGCTGTGTGTGTAGAGTTTACTGAATTCCCTGTTGCCCGTATGTCCGAGTCACAGGTGCCAGTCATTGGCGTTCCTGCTGTACGTGCCCTGGATGCTACGGAGAGTGTCGGCAGCCTGTGACACTGTATCTCCCAGGGCACACACTGTTTGTCACATGGCTACAGGGCCCTTCTTGGCTGTCCACGGGCTCTCCAGGGACTGAGAGCCTTTCAGGAGACAAGCTTCGGGCTCCAGCTTGCCTTTTACGTTTCCCTGGATGCTTTTCATTGTTCACAACTAGCTGAGTTTACAGTAGTTACTTTTGGAAATTCTGGGGTTGATTTGTTTTGCTATAAATCCGGGCCAAGACCAAGGTCGCTGACCTTTACTTCAGTTGTGTTTTATATCACACTGCAGTGCCAGTCCAGTTTAGTTGCTTATAAACTCTGTCAGGAGCATATTGACTGTTTCTTTCTATTTTTAAAAGGAAAAATGCACTGAGAAGACATAAAAGCATTGCGGAGGTCTCACAGAATCGCCGACAAATTGAAATTCCCAAAGTGTCCAAGAGATCCGCCAAAAACGTAAGTGGTTTCCAGGAGACAGGAAGCGGTGACAGCAGAGTCGTTCCTTCCGGCGTGTGTCCCACTCGCGACGCGAGGGCGCGGCAGTGTCGCTGTGTTCCAGAAGCGGGCCCTGGAGCGCGCGGGGCGAAGGCAGGTGTTTGTGTGAGTGGGCGCAGCGGTGGCCCAGGCCCAGGGCCTGCGGAAACGGTCGGGTGTTCAGGGCGAACCTTCACCCAAAAGTGTGGTGGGTGCAGGTAACACAAATTCCAAAAAGCAAGCCCGGCTGGGACCGACTGAGGTAACTCAAAATCTGTAATGTAGGTAAGAACACTCATAACGTCACGACAGAAGCCAAGAGGCCAGTGGAAAGCAGTGAGTCGTCGCAGCCGGGCTTTGGCTGGCCGCCCGCCAGAAAGCGCTGTCCAGCGAGCGCGTCTCCCTTCAACAGCAAGTTTAAAAACTGCTGGGGGTGGGTGGGGTGCGGGTGCTGCAGGGAGCCCGACGGCGACTGGTTTTTGTGACATGTGTAAGGGCTTTTTTTTGTTGGGAGCAGAAGAAAAGACACCCAGGTGGAGTCTGTTGACTGAGTAGAATTAATATGTTGCTCAGGAAGGAAGGGAGACAGAATCTGTTGAAACCTTTGAACTGCGCCAACTATTGAGAAGAGTTAAAATTCTGGGAGAACAAGCCTCGGAAGCCTTAATCACCACAGCGGTGGTTTGCAGTCTGTTTATCGAGGTTTATAACTGCCCTTTGGACTCGGAGGTGGGATTTCTTTTAAAGAGTTAGTGGTCTTCCCTTTCTTGGTGGAGCTTCACCAATGTGAGTGGGCGAGATGCACGTCTGCTGACAACGCGCCGTCCTCCGTCGCTGCGCGGCGACCCGCTGCGGGAGCGCGTTCTCGTTGCGCCAGAAACGCACAGGCTGGCCCAGAGGGCCCCCTTCTCTAAAACTCGATTTTCTGGGGCCAGGATTTGGTTCCGGTTATTAAAGAATGTCAGTGTGTTCAATGTCTCCCCCTGCCTGGTAGTTCATTTTTCAGTTACGGCAGTGGCGTAAGTGGAAAATCAAAGAAAAAAAGCTGTAAAAACAGTTCCACTGTTGACATGCACCTGGATTATAGACTCTGGAATCCTCTGCTGTAGTAGCAGATTAATAGCGATTTAACCCAGAGAAGCTCCTAACACTGTAGCCGTCCTGTAATTAGCTTATGTGGGTTTTCCCGTATTTTTTTAGTTATAAAAAGGTGTAAATCATTACAAAGTTGAAATCATATAAAGTTAACAGAGTGTCCCTTCTGCATTAGTCCTCAGAAGTGACCACTGATGGCAGTGGTGTGTGTCCCCCGGCCCTGGCCTGTGTGTGCCCGTGGCACACGCACACATCACAAATGGCACGCCCGCTGCACTTGGTCTGCATTTTTACCTTTCCCCCTTGTGGACGGGCCTCTCCCTGTGTTGGTGTGTACAGGTCTCCCTCCTCTACCCTCACAGACCTGCCTAACTCTTTTAATATGCGTGCTGTGTGGGCGAACCGTCGTCCGTTCCCCTCTGTGGGTGGCGTTTAGGGCGCCCCCCCATGTTGTATTGCTGTGCTGCCGCCTGCAGTGTCCTTGGAGTGCGTATCTGTTTGCACTTTGCGCCTTTCTGTAGAACTACAAGGCTCAAAGGCTTTCATGGGGGATTTGTCTCTTCCAGTTAAATTGTGTGCCTATCTTCTTACTGGGCTTTCTCATCTTGCAGGAGAATTCTCGCCCTGGTCTTCAGCAGCCTTCTCTCCCAGGGAAGAATACGGTACAAGGTATATGCTTTGTTCCCTCGGGACACCTATTTATTGACTAGACCGACACATTCATTTGGATGGTGTGTATTTAAGCAGCGGCATCGTTTCGTGTAGTTGCTAGTTAATGAAATATGTCCAGACTGCATGTGCTAGCAGAATAAAGTATTCACATGGTCTCAGCTACTGCACTGCGCAAAATAAGTGACCTGAAATCTTTTTTTTTTTTTAAACACCATTATCACGAAAGCCAGAAAAATAAAAGCCACCGATGCCAGTTTAGATGAGAGGCGTTTTGAGTGTGGCGGCTAAAGGCACTGCGTGGTCCCTGATGAACCTTAAGTTTAGGAAGAACAAAAGCTACACAGGCCATTGAGACACTGAGAGAAATTTGGAAGATGAAGCCCCGCGCCGCCGTGCGGGGCCGCAGCGTTGCAGTGTCCGCAGCTGCCTCGGGGGGCTGGGGTAGACGAGGCGCACGCGGAGAGGGGAGGGCAGCCCCCCATGTGGGCTGTGCGTGAATATTAGCCACGGCTCTGTTTATTTTACTAGGCTTTGAAATGTTCTGTATGAATTAAACTTTCAAAACCTTGAGGAAAACAGAAAGTAGCAAATCCACGTTGGCTCTCAGGCCATAAACCAGTTTCACGTACAGTCTAAGGCCTCCTATGTGGAGACGGAGGGACAGTTTGTGAAACTCGGTGTTATCGGTGTCCCCAACGTTAGTGTTTACATCACTGATGGGAAGCCGCGAGGGCTCCTTCCAGTGTGTGGACCCTACTGTCTTCGGCTTCCTTTCCGTGACTGACTCTTAGGACGATTTACCACAGGTGAATCTTGGAGTGGTCGTCACTAGGCCATCTTAAGATTAAGGTGCCGTTTTGCCAACTTCGTCAAGTATTTCATGACTCTTCTGCCTTTTTCCCTAACTTTGAGTCTAAATGGTCACAGCTTTTGTGCTCTTAGGCCAGGAAGAGAATTTAAAATGACCCAGAGAGTTAGTAAAAACTCAAGAAGAATGAGCTCTTTGAGACGGAACAGTTTCTCACTACTTAGGCCGAGGTAAATAAAAGCAGCAAAAAGGTCTGAAGTGAGAAAAGTCATCGTAACACTGGGATGCGTTAAAAAGACCAGGATTTACACTGGCCGACCTCTTACTTAAGGGTTATGTCCATTCCACAGGGAGTGAAGCTTCTCGTGTAAGTGCTCTGGGCCGTCCGCGTATTCCTGAAATACTGGGTTCTAGATGGAACTTGTAGAAGGAAATAATTTTAATGCACCGCCTGAGTATGGCATTTAAGGAAATCCTGTTAGTGTCAGTATCGTAGTCGGTCTGTAGGAGAGTTTCCCGAAGCAGCGCTCTGTTTTGGATAGCTTCCCTGTCCCAGACAAGGGCGGTTGTTAATGACACTATTTGGCTTTGTTTTTTTTTTTTAGAAGTGACCAAAGTTCGCAGAAATCTCTTCAACCAGGAAATGTCTCCTTCGAAGCGGTCGGTGAAGCGGGGGCTGCCCAGGAGCCACTCCGTGTCGGCTGTGGAAGGCCTGGGGCAGGGGCTTGACGGCTTCGAGGGGACCAAAGGTGCGTCTCAGCGCCGCCGAGGGAGAGGGCTTCCTGGGCCCCAACCAGACTCGCGTCATTGCAGACGCTCATTAACCCCTTTCGCTTCCGTCCTCTCCCTGGTTGGCGCTGGTCACCCTTCCCTGCGGGGGCCTCTCCAGGCTCGGATGAAAACGCGATCCCACTCTCCCTCCATCCTCCCCCCCAGGTACCCTGCAGGCCAGCAGCTATTTTGTAAGACCAGTTAAAAAGAAATGAAGGATGAGGATTACGTGGTTTTCTAGTCTTTTTTTTTTTTTCTTGTAATTTTAGGTTGGATTTTTTTGCTTTTTTTTCCTTCTTACATAATTGCAGTATAATTTATTACCATAAAATCAACTCTTTTAAAGTTTGGGATTCGGTGCTTTTCAGTATATGCGCAAAGGTCGCAGCCCTCGGCTGCCTAGCTCCGGAACATGTTCGTCACTCTGCATAGAGCCTGTGCGCATTGGCAGCCTCTCCCTGCTGGAGGCAGCCACCAGCCTGCCCCCTGCTTCTGCGGATTTGCCTGTTGCGGGTGTGTCTTACAAGTGGAATCATAGACTGCATGGTCTGCGCAAGCAGCTGTTCTCCGTGTAATGTCTCCCGTGTTTACGCGTGTTATGCTGTACGAGGTCTCAGTACTTTTCTTTCTATTGCCAGCAAACATTGTATGGATACATTAGATTTTATTTATCCATTCCTCAACTGGTGGACATCTGTGTTTCTACTTTTTCTCTGTTGTGAATAGCGCTGCTATCGACATTCACGTACAAGAATTTGTATACGCACGTTTTTACCTCTCAGGCAGATGGCTAGAAACGGAATCGCTGGGTCGTAGGGTAACTCCATGTTTAACTTTTGGAGGATTTACCCAACTGTTCGCCAGAGTGGCCGCACCGTCTCGCACGCCCACCCGCCCGCAGTGTCTGAGGGTTCCCATGTCCCCGCACCCTCGCCACCGCCTCTTATTGTCCCATTTTGATTCTCCCTTTTTCAGGGGGAGTGTATCTGGTTGTATCTGATTGTGGTAAAGAATTGCATTTTCCCAACAACTGATGTTCAGCATCTTTTCATGTGTTCACTGGCTATCTGTGTATTTTCTTTGGAGAAATGTCTGTTCAAATTTTTGCCTGTTTTTTGAACGGGCTTGTCTTTTACAGCTGAAGTATGAGTTCTTTATGTATTCTAGAGAATTACCAGATCTGTGACTTGCAAATATTTTATTCCAAACTGCGAGGTGGACTTTGATGAAGTCCAGTTTATCCAGTGTAGCAGTTTTTGCTGTTGCTTGTACTTTTGGTATCAGAGCTAAAAGACCATTACGTAATCCACGTCTTACAGGTCAGCTCTTACACTGAGGCCTTGGATTCACTTCGAGTCCGTTTTTGCGTTTCCGTGAGACCGGCGTCCGACCCCACCCTTCGGCACGTGGCTGTGCAGCTGTCCCAGCCCCGCTTGTTGAAAAGGCTCCTTTCTCCTTATTGAATTGTCTCGGCGCCTGGTCTACACTCACCCGCCTGTGGATGTTAGGGTGTTCGTTCTTTTTAAATGTTAGGTAGAATTCAGCAGTGAAGCCATTCTAGTCCTGGGCATTTCTTGGTGAGAACTTTTTTGAAAACGAATTTCCTGTTTGGCTTCTAACAGGCAGGCGTGTTCAGATTTCCTGGTTCTTCCTGTGTTGGTTTCCAGATGTCTCTTGTCTTTCTAGGAGTCTGTCCATTTCAGAGGGTGGCTCGTTTGGCCCCCTCAGCTGCTTTCCGTGTCCCTTGCAGTGGCCTGAACTTTTTGGCACCAGGGCCAATTTCGTGGCAGACACTGCCCGTGGGGGTGGAGGCGTGGTTTTGGGAAGAGGCAGGCTCCTTACACTCCTGCCGTGGGACCCGGTTCCCAGCAGGCACGGACCGTCCGGGGCGCGGCCTGAGGCGGGGCCTGCTGCCTTACAGCCCTTGTTCCTGGGGGCTGGCGGCTACGGCCCCTCCCCCTCTCCTGGTGGGTGTAGTATTCTTAACTTTCTTGCCTCTTTTGCGTCTTCCCTTGGTCAGTCTAGCCAAAGTTTTGTGAATTATTAATTTTTTCAAAGAACCAACTTCTGGTTTCATAGATTTTTCTCCATTAGTTTTTCCATTCTCAATCTCATTTATTCCTGACGCAATCTTTCTTTGGGCCATTGGTTATTGAGGAGTACGTTAATTTCCACATACAGGAGGGGACCCCAAAAAACCCCTGGAATTTATTTGTAAAAAATTGTGTATTTATTCTTACATGTTTAAACTTTAGTCTCCTTCAAAGGACTCTCCATCTGATGCAATACAGCTATCAAAGCATTTTTTCCACTGCTCAAAATAGTTTTTGAACTCATTGATTTTGATGCCTTGTAGCGCTTCTGCCGTTTTTTGTTCACCTCTTCCACATCGGCAAACTGATTCCCTTTGAGGACTTTAACCTCGGGAGGAAAATAGTCACTTGGGGAGAGACTGGGTGAATAGGGGGGTGGGGCACGGAGGTCATGCTGTTTTTGGTCAAACCCTGCTGAACACTCGGCGTGGTGTGGGCAGGTGCGCTCCTAAATCACCCACCGTGAAACGGGCGAACACGTTCAAGGGGTCTTCAAAAAATTCACTGAAGCCCAACAGTGCCTCTTGCAGCAACGCCGGCTGGCGCACTGATACTGGTGGGTTCCTGGAACACTCGCCTAGTGGGGGCAGCCCGCCCTACAAGGGGCCTACCCTCCAGAAGGTAATTCCAGGGTTTTGGGGGGTTCCCTCCAGAAGGTAATTCCAGGGTTTTGGGGGGTTCCCCCTCATTGTTGTGAGTTTCGCAAATTTCCTTCTGTTAGTGATTTCTAATTTCATTCCATTGTGGTTGGAAAAAATAATTTATGATTTCAGGTTTTTTTAGTTTATTGAGACTTGTTTTGTGGCCTAGCATTGGCCCCGTCATAGAGAACATTCCGTTGCCTGTGTGCTTGCGGGGAATGTGTGCTCTGCTCTGTGGGGACAGAGGTCTGGAAGGGTCCTTTCGGCCTTGTCGGTTTAAGGTGCTGTCCCAGCCTTCTGTGTCCTTGCTGGTCTCTTCAACTACCCTGTCCACACCGAAAGTATGAAAGTAGGGTGTTCAAGTCCCCCACTGCTATTGCTGACCTGTTTCTCTCTTCAGTGTTTGCTTTAATACATTTTGTAGCTGTTAGAATGTGTACATGGTTACTATTTACTTGGACCGATTGAACTTATTATGGATATATGAAGTCCTGCTTTGTCTTTTGTAACCTTTTTATACTTTGATCTGACAATAATGTAGCCACCCCAACACTTATTTGTACAAAGTATCTTTTTCTCTTCTTTTACTTGCAACCTCTTTGTGTCTTTGGAGCAAGCGAGCATCTGGAGAGGCCTGTGGTTGGGTCTCGCTTTCCTTCAGCCCAGCTGCCCACCTGCTAGCACTCGGGGGTTCACAGAGTCCCCGTGCACGCCGCCCTCTCCCCTTCCCCTTTATCCTTTCCGTCAGCTTGTCCTTTGCCTCACGCATTTCACCGCTTCGGGCAGCTCTTCCTCTCCCAGTTGCTGGTTTTCGGCAGATGCTCCCTGGGAGGAGGTCGTTTGCCCTGGGCGAGTTCCCAGTCAGGTTGAATAGAGATGCACTCCCCAGGCGGCATCAGGCGGGCCAAACGGTGACGGTGGTCTGGGGACACGTGGGGCGTGGGGGCTCCTGGGCAGGTGTGCGCCACCCAGACGCTGCCGGGCTGTTGGTTTGCTCTGACTGCCCACAGCTGGTTCTCACGGTTGCCTTGGTTCCCTGGGGGATGAGGACACCGGGGCGGGTTAGGGTTCCACAAAGCTTGCTATTCTTACTGAGATGTAGCCAGTTTTGTGGGATAACTAATCCGTGTATTGTTGCAGATTGGTTCATTTCCAGAGTCTGGAAACGCTGGTTGGGCCCTTCCAGGAGGGGAGAGTTTCCGGAGGCCCTCGCGGCACGGGCCAGCTGACGGCGCTCCCCTTTCTAGTCCTTCGCGCCCCCTGTGTAGCTGGCTCCCCACTCTGCGGGGAGCATGTGCCCACCAGGTGGATCTTAAGTATTTTAGCATTCACATGGCGTATCAGCATTTTCACACTTTTTATTTCATTGTACTTAGCCCTACTAAGTGAGCACAGTCCATTCCTCAGGGCTGCTTATTTTATGAAAATTTCACAACGTGTTACGTGGGCTTATTACGTAACCTCTAACAGTGGAGATAAGCTGTTACATTGAGCCCTACGGTCAGAGCTGAGCCCAGAGACGCTGAGGTCCCCTCCAGCTATGTCACAAGCCACAGAGCAGGCCATGCTCGTCCCCGGCCTTGCTGCCGCTTCTGGAGAGGTAAAGCGCGTATTGCTCCCATTTCAGGTCACCACAGGCTGCTGACGCGCCGTGTGGCCGAGACTCCGGAGCACAAGCAGGTGTCCCGGAGGCTGCTGCACAGACAGGTCAAGGGCAGGTGAGTGACGTCCCTGTGCAGCTCCTCGGTACACCAGACAGCTCTCTTACCTCCTCACGAGCTCCGGGACCATCTTAACTGCATTCCCTGCAACCGAAGAGCATTCTCTGGGCCCTCTGGGGGCTGCAGGAGGCGCTCTGTCCCGGCCTCACCTGGCCTCACTCCCCTGCCGTGGTTGTCTCGAAGGTCACCCACATTCTTGCATGTATCAGTAGCTCACCCTTTTGTTTTTACTAATATCTTCCTGAATGGATATTGGTACAATTTTAAAATCTGTTCACGTGCTGACATGGGGAAGGAGGGAGCCTTCAAGGGGGCCAGGCAAGGCTGGGGGCTCTGACCCTGCCTTCCTGGGCTGGCAGGGCCCAGGGTCCCGCAGTGACTGCTTGGGGCGGGGCAGGTCTTGCCTTAAAGTTCCTGTCTTGCTTGACCGCCCCTTTGCTCCTCTGACGAGAGCGCCAGCGTTCCCGGGGGCAGTTTTGGTCTGACTTCTTGGTGTGTTCCCATGTCAGTTCCTCAGCACCCACTCTGGGGTCTATAAAGCAAAAAGGAAGTTCCGGAGCCCCCCAGCCCATCCCCCGGGTCCTGGGTCCCAGCCAGGCTGTCCCTTCTCTCCACTTTTTTTTTTTTTTTTTTTAATTTAAGACTTTATTTACTTGAGAGGGGGAGGGAGAAAGAGAGGGAGAGCAACATTAATGTGTGGTTGCCTCTCAAGCGCCCCCTACTGGGGATCTGGCTCACAACCCAGGCAGGGGCCTCACACACCTAGCAGAGGGCTCAGCTGTGCCGGACTGAGGGGAGACTGGGGAGGGGCACGCCCACTGCAGCTTGTCAAGTCTCCGTGTTGTCATCATTGGTGTAAGGATTTCCCACACGTGGGCATGTCTGTCTACAAGATGTTACAAGTAAAAGCTGTTCTAACTCTTCACAGTGATGTCTGAGAGTGCCGCACGGGTGTTCTCAAACTCGGTGGTCTCTTACCTTGTGGGGTGAGTGGCTGTATCTCTTTAATGTGTGTTAACTGTGAATTAATTATTAGTGATTCTGAATAATCCTTGTGCTTTTTATTCCCCCAGATCCTCTGATCCTGGTCCTGATATTGAAGTTGTTGAAGAGTCCCCAGAAAAAGGTATTCCCTGTGTTTGTTGTGGGGTTTGGGGTTCTGTGTGTAACCTGCGGGCCTCGGTGCCCTTGCTGTACCTGTGCTCCTGCTCCCTGTGTCCGAAGGCGCCGCAGACACATGACGGCCCCGCCCCGCGCCCCCCCATGATGCTGACTGGTGAATGGCCTCCTTAAAAAGTGTGTATGTCAGAGTTTCCAAAAACTAGCTTTATTTTTAATCAAGAAATTTGTTTATTGTAGAAAAATCAAAGTATAGAGAAGCCAAAATTTTATTTTTATTTTTTATTTTATTTTGTAAAAGTTGTATTCATTTATTTTTATAGAAGAAAAGGGAGGCAGAAAGAGGGAGAGAAACATCAATGTGTGGCTGCCTCTTGCGCGTCCCCTGCTGGGGACCTGGCTGCAACCCAGGCCTGTGCCCTGACTGGGAATTGGCTGGACCAGCGACCCACTGGTTCACAGGCCGGCCAGGGCAGGGAAGCCAAAATTTTAATGATAGCTTGGTAATCCCGTAACTCAGAACATTTACTCTATTAATAACATTTTATCTTTAACAATGTTCTTACAGGTGATATTCTATACAAATATGTGTAATGTACACATGAAAGCTATCGTTTATAAATTTAAGACTTTCTTTTTTTTGCAAAAGTCACTGTACTTTCACACGCGTTTTCTACCGCATGTCGTGCTTCCCAGTGGCAGCTCTGGAGGTGAAGGTTGAGTGGGTCGGTGGGGTTTTTGGCACCTTGCAGGGGCCACCTGCCAACACTATCTTTGTTACAACAATGAAGAAGTGTAAACAACAATTAAGTCAAATTTATATCCTGTATGTGGTGTTACATAAATTTTACCCCTTTTGTACGTGGGAAACGGCAGGCTTGTGTTTCTCCCTGGTTACTAAGTGTGACTTTGGTTTTGCAGAAATCAGTCTGAGAAGAAGTCCTCGAATCAAGCAACTGTCATTCAGCAGGACAGATTCTGGCCCCTTCTATGCTGTGCCTCTGCCGAAGTCGCGGGCTGTGCAGAGAGCTCGGTCGTTTCAGCAGAACAAGCCAGGTAATTTCCTCCACCACTGCCCTACAGCACTTCACACTAACTCCGGCGGGAGGATTTTTGGGAAAAGAAGTATGAAACCTGTCCTTTTGTTTCTGCACATTGAAGAAGTAGACCTCACATACACATCTGAGGTTCAAGGTGATGGCCCACTGGACGATCCAGCATCTTATCAGGATCATACCTAGGGATTCTTGCAGCTGGTCCTCCACACTCTTCTGATCATACATTCACCGAAGAGGAATTTACCTATGATTTCCCACTTGTGGTCAAATCCTACACACACGTGTCCCAGGTGGAAGATGGTATCTGTCTGTACATCCTTTACTTCTTCATGCATCGTTACCTTGGATCATCAGCACTGTGTTTTTACATTACAAATTAAATTTATTTTAGTTGCCTACATTTCCTAGCACAGGAGATGGCGTTAACTGCAGTCAGTAAAACTGAAGAGGTAGGCAGTAGCTGCTAACATCATCAGGTGGAATTTTCCCACTAGTTCTTCTCAATAATGATTGTCTTCTGCTTTTGTATGGGCTGGCTGTTGAATTCACGTTGAGAGGGCGGAAGTTGAAAAAGATGTAAATATTGTCAATGTTTTTGACTTGCAGATCAAAGAGAATATTCTACCATCCCAAGTATTCAATCTCCAAAGACACTTCTGTTCGGGGCAGTGTCTCAGATCGTCAGTCCCTCAGAAAAGGGCTCAGCTCAGATGAAAAAGACTTCCAGAAAAAAACTGGCTTCTGAGATGGCAACAGACTATCAGGTAGGAAATGTCTATCATGCCTCGGTGGCGGCTCTGGAGAAAGGGGCCACCTGCCAACCTCCCACACTAGTCCAGCCTAGAGTCTCTAGGCCTGGAGGTTAGAGAGGGAAAACTGGGAGACAGAGGTCAGGGAGGAGAGAGAGGAGAGACCCGGGTAGAGAAACATTTGCCAGAGAAGGGAGGGAGGCAGAGATCACCAACAGAAGAGCAGTCTGTGATCTCAAGCCGGGATCAGAGAGAAGAGAGTGAGAGAGCAATCGAACAGGGATCCGAGAGACAAGTACGGGAGATCAGGCAGGTGCGACAGAGACGCGATGAGGCAGAGGTTCCAAGTGATGTGAGAGAGGCGCAGAGATGCGGAGAAATCAGAGAGGAGGGAGGGGGAGGCCAGGCAGGTCAGCAAGAGAAGCGCACAGAGTGCGCCGGACACTCCTGGCCTTGCGGGGGCGCCCCCTGCAGTGTCTTCCCAGTCCTCACCCGGCTGCACCTGGACCTTTATTATTATTGAATTTATTGGGATGACATTGCTTAATGAAATTAGACTTCAGGTGTACAGTTCTACAAGACATCACCTGTATATTGTATTTACTCCCGAATCCCTACCATAGGCATGAATGACAGGGGAACGGGGTGGGGTGCGGAGTCTCCATTGCAGAGGTTGGAATGGGGGGCTCTCTGAACCAGCTCAAGGTCAGCGCCCCAAAGGCAGCTCTAGTTGGGAGACAGTGCTTCCCGGGACATTGCCTTTGCGGCGTCGAGTCTGTGTCTGTCTGTCCCACACCCCCCACCACACTCACACAGTCACTGCCTGGTGCACAGTAGGGGCTCCGTCATCGCCTGTTAGATGTGGGTGACCAGCAGGTGATGTGGCACCTAGACCCGCCTCAGGCAAAGACTAGAGACGTCAAAGTGAGGGGAAGGCGAGCCGTGCGTGTGGTGGAGTGAAGCAGGAGGGGGCGGGGAACAGCGTGGCTGCGTTACGCAAATTATCTTAGAGAAACAGACTCCGATTGGATACTGTTCTCGGGGCTAGAAAAAGTGGCCGAGTAAAACGGAGCCCTGCTGGGGACGTGGGAGCGTGTCCGTGTGGAGCTCGCTCTGGTGGCCGGCTGCGAGTCTCCCACTTGCCCTCCTCCTCGTCTTGGAGGTCACTAAAGCCGCGAGGGAACACGCGGCATGAGGTTCAAGCACTGACATGAGCACTCTTCTTCCCAGACTCCAAGGAAGAGGTCCTGGACGCCTCCCGGCTCTCCCGCGGCTGCGCCCGGAAGGGTCCCTCGCACACCGCAGAGCCTGCCCTGCACCCCTGAGAGGCCGCAGAGGCCCCCTGCGGCCCAGACCCCTGCGCGGCAGGCGCTCTTCCTGTCCTTTCACGATTCCCCGGCACTTGGCTGCGATCTACCTTCTCCACCAAAACTCCCTGCACAGAAAGGACGTCCCCGGCCGGAAAGCGGTGCCTCTCCACACGGGAAGACGCCCAGAACTCCCACGAGGCCACGGGGCCAGCCCCTTGGGTTTCGGCAGAATTCTGCCTGGCCACCTGCCGTGACCTGCAGTCCGGGAAGCCCCTCCCGGCTGGCCACCGGCAAGCACAGGCCTGGGCATCTGACTCCCAGGGGAGCCTCTCTCGGGTCGTCCCCCGGAACAGCTGCGGCAGGGGTGCGAAGGGACACAACCCTCGTGGGCACGCCTCCCAACCAGAAACACCAATGTCCCCACACCCCTCGAGGCGCTCAAGACGAGAAGCCAGCACAGAAACGGAAGGTCAGAGCTGTCAGGACCCCGGAGAGACCTGGGGACACACCCATGACGCTTTCCCCGCCTGTTCCTCCAAAGGAACCTCCGCTCTCTCCTGTGTGCCACGTTTGCCGGAGTCCACGTGGAAAACCTCTGGCAGGGCCCCCTGCCCCTGGAGAACTGGAGTGGAGAGCGCCCCAGACACTGCCCAGCGCCGCCCCACCTCTCTCCCGTCCCACCCCTTCGGCTCCCCCTCGAACCTCTCAGAGAGCTGGCTCTGACGCCACGCCTGGCCTGCCCCCTTGGCAGATCGGGAGAAGGGACAAAGGGACCTCTGATCTGGAGGGCAGCTTCCCCAAGAGCGAGCCTCAAACCTCGGCTGCTCCTGCAGGTGGTGCCGCGGACAGCCCGGCTGCCGTCACCAACACTAGCACACACCTGGAGGACGTGGACCCCTCCTCCCCTCAGTCGCCCCAAAGGCACCGCGACCCTGGGCCTGGCTTCAGCAGCGACACAGAGCACCTCACCCTCCTGGAAGGAGCAGAGCACCACGGTGCCAGGGACCAGAAAGACTGCCCTTCTCCCTTGGGCAGAGGTGCACGGCTGAGGACGGTGGGTGCCGATGAGAGGCCTCCATCTCCCCTGGGGGAGCCCCTGTCTCCTCCTCTCCGTGGGCCCAGCTGTCCCCCGACACCGCCCTGCGCCCTGCGCCGGGGCAGCCACAGGGGGCGGCACCCAGCACCTGCCCCCACCCTGCTCTCAGGGGCCCCTGCCGAGGCGCAGACCTACGAGGTGGAGCTGGAGATGCAAGCTTCCGGCGTGCCCAAGGTCCGGATTAAAAAGAGAGACAGCAGCCCTCGGTGGTCGGAAGCCGAGCCCCTGAGGGCCCAGAGCGCGCCCCCTGGCCTCGGCGTGCCCAGGAGCAGCAAGCCCTGCAAACTCGATGCCACCTACACGTCACCCCCCTGCCTCCGCCCTGCGCACAGCAGCCCCAGCAAGAGTGGCGGACAAACCTACATCTGTCAGTCCTGCACCCCGACCCACAGCACCCCCAGCCCGTTTCAGACGGACGTTGGGGTTCCTTGGACACCGTCCCCCAAGCACAGCGGGAAGGCAACTCCCGACACGATCAAGGACTGGCCCCGCAGGAAGCGGGCGACGCACTGTGGCCTGGGCGCCGCAGACCTGGTGGCTGGTGGGCCGCTGCCCCGCCCGGAGGGCAAGGAGCCAGGCCTCGAACTCGCCGTCAGCAAGTCTCCACTCCTGGGGGAGTTTGAGCTTGAGGGGGTGTGTCAGCTGCCAGACCAGTCACCTCCTGCAGGCAGTGCTTCTAAGGCCGAGGAGACCTTCTCGTGGGGGCAGTTCGGGTCGGGTCCCAGGAAGAGACTACTTTCTGCCCAGGAAGAAGCTGAGTGTGAGGCCAAGAGGGTCTGTGACAAGCCGAGAGGAGACTCCGCAGTCAGTCAGAGCGAGGAGAGGTGCCCGAGGACAGAAGCGCAGCCGGTGCCCACCACGGGGGACGACGAGGCGCTGGTTTCAGGTGAGTCTGCCGGCCGAGCCTGGGCGGGAGGCTGGGGGCACTGCTGCTCCTGCTGCCGCCGCTGCTGCTGGGGGCCTGGGCAGCTGGAGGGCAGCGCTGACCGCGTGCCGTTCTGCAGGTGCCACCCCGCCACCCGGCTGCGCCCTGCGCAGCTGCCTGTCCGCCAGCGGGCTCCAGGCGCTGACCCAGTCCCCGCTGCTGTTCCCAGGGAAGACGTGCTCCTCGCAGCGCAAAGACGCCACAGGTACCGCGCGTGGGTCCCGGGGACTTTTACTGAGGTCGGACCTGCATCCTGTGGGGGCTCCCTGGAGCCAGCTCAGGGCTGCCAGGCAGGGGGATTTGGGAGGCGTCGTGGGGACTGTTCGATGGGACAGGCGGCTCTGTCCCTGCAGCGACGTGCGCTGTGCCCCCCACGCCCCCACCCAGGGAAGTACCACATTAGAACCTCTGCGCATCTGCACTGAAACCCCACAGGGTCCTACCAAAACCCTGAGGTTCTCAAAGGTGGTGGCGGAGGGGGCACACAGCATAGTCCCTGGGCTCTGAAGAGTGTCAGAGCCAGCGACTTCCTCCACATGATCCGTGTGTCCCGTCCGGCAGGCCTGTCGCTGTTAGCCCTTTAGGGAGGCTGCAGGACCCCCTCCACCGCCCCGCCTGGGAGAAAGCTGGGTTGAGCCTGTGAACTGCACGGGCTAGAGGGCGTCCTTCTAGATCGTAAGGGGAGTGCAGGAGGGGGCCCTTCAGTGGGTCTCTTCCCTCAAGGCCATGACAGGCAGCAGGCAAGATGGCATAAAACCCCGCAGACCTTAGTCAAAACGACCGTACAAATGGTCAAACTTTGCGGAAAGTGTGGACGACAGCTTGCAGGGAAGAGAACGATGTTCCTGTGCGCCGCCTGCAGTCCTAGCCATTCCCTGGGCTGTGCCCTCATCCTCCCCCCCCCCGTGCCTGCCTCTTCCAGATGAGGACACGGACGTGTTCCTCCCGACGTCCGAGGACTCGCCTTTCAGCAGAGCCTTTTCCAAGCGACGGCCCATCAGCAGAACTTACTCACGGAAGAAACTGATCAGCTAGTGCGGGCGGCACCACCAGGGGACTTGCAACCACAGACACTACAGCGCCTGTCCAGAGCCCCCGCCTCCCTGGCAGAAGTGCCCGGGGAGCGCTCCTCTGGGCGTGCCCGGCGCCGCGGGCGCACCCCCGGGGGACTCCTCGGCCAGAGGCGCGGGTTGCCTGAGCCGGGCTGGCTGCACGGAGCGGGGTGAGTGGGGCTTCCTGAAACTGGGTGCGTTGGAAAGATGGAGGCAGGGTCACCCCACGGGCAGAGGGACCCCTGCCCCTGCCCCTGGTTGGGGGGTGTGGCACCTGTTGCTGTACCTCAGAGGCAGCCTGGAAGCCTGGAGCCAGACAAGGGCCTGCAAGACCAGGGTCCCACTCCAGCCCCACCCTGACTGTGACCGTGCCAAGACCGGGTGACACTACCTCTCCTGTGAAGTGGGTCCCTTGTGAAGCTGCAGTTAAGGCTGGGACCCTGAGACAGGCAGGCGGCAGGATAAACGTTTCACACTTAATGTGACAATAAAGCTATCTCCCGCCGCTCAGCGTCCGGCGCCTCGCTGTGTAAGGCCCAGCCTGAGGGTCGCGTGACCATGGCCCGCTTGGTGCCCGAGAGCCAGTCCTGGCGCAGTCCTCGCCATCTGTGGGGAGACTCACCAAATTGAGCTGGGCCGGCCTGCCGGTGAGTCCTGGGAAGGGGCCAATCTGCAACTGTCCCCTGGTCCCTGAGTGACTTCCAGGCCTGTTGGTTCCCAGACCTGCTTCCTACTATTGCCGATCAAACTTAAGGTGCAAATTCCCATCTCTCCAGAGGTTCTCATTTATTAGAAAATGGTTATACAAAGTTCTAAACATGTGCTGCTTCTAACCCACCATGTACATACACTAAGACCGTTAGACCCCCAGCCATTCTGTGACCAGCCTCAGTGGCACCGCAGAGCAAGTGGTGCACAGACTCAAGACCACAACTGTCCTTCCGAAACATGTCGCAGCCAAAGGCGGCCATCCGTGCCGCAGCCTAAAGGAAGGGGTGCTGGGAATCTGCTTTAAAAACCAAAATTGAGCCCAGTTGGTCGGGGCCGACGGATCTGGAGGACCAGGTCTGTGAGGGCTCCTTCGCAGACCGTGTCCGCACTGTGCCTTCATCAGGCGCGGGGCCTCCCCCCACGGCCGGCTCTGCCCCGGGCCTACAGGGGGTTCCTCCTGACGTCGATCATCCCCGGGCTGGCCCTCCGCAGCTCCCGCCGCGGTCTGGCCAAGGGCCCCACGTGCCAGGGCAGACACCCCTCCCCGCCAGGCAGCGCCCGCTCCGGGGCCTCCCGCTGCCGCAGCTCCTCCGGGGACCCCTGCTCCTCGCCACTCAGGCTGGAGCGCTTCCAGGTCAGCGGGAGTGGGGCGCGGACCAGGTCCCGTACCTCCTCCCGGGCCCGGGGGGCACCGTCCGCGAGGGGGGCCTGCTCCAGAGACTCGGGTGCTGGGCGCAGCTCGTCCTCATTCCCAGGGCACAGGGGCTTCTTCTCCCCACCTGCCACAGAGGCGGCGACATCCTCGTCAGGAGTAGGGGCGGCAGCGCCCTCCTTGGTCCCAGCGTCCCAGGCCCCAGCACAGCAAGCAGCGTGGGAAACCACCCCTGGAAAGCTGCGGTCAGGGCGGCTGCTGCCCTCTCCCCAGACCAGGGTGTGCAAACTGGAGGCAGCAAGGCGGGCGGGGCTCGGGCCAGGCTCACCCCTGCTCGGGCCCGCCGCGCCCGCACCGCTCAGCTTCTGCTTCAGTTCCTGGTTCGCCCACACCTGGCGGCCCAGCTCCCTCTCCAGAGCCTGGATCCTGGCCTCATACTGCCTCCTGCTGTCGGCCAGCCCTTCCCCAGGGTGGTCTAGAGGGGACACGCACAGAGTGGGGGGCAGGTCGGCCGGGGCAGGGCGGTGCGGGGCGGCGGGCTGGGCCTCACCTCGGCTCTGCTGCAGGAGCAGCTGCAGGCTCCGCTCGTGCTCCTTCTGCTGCTGGGTCAGCTGGCGGTCCGTCTCCAGGCGCTGCCGCTCCAGGGCCGCCTCCAGCCAGTACACCAGCCTCTGCTGCTCCTCCAGCTGCATCTCCAGCTCCGAGAAGGCCACCTGTTGCTGGTGCTGCTCCTCCCGGAGCGTCACCACCTGTGCGAGGCCGCTGGGCTCAGATCCCAGGCACCACCACCACCACCACCCCCGCCCCGCTCGCCCCCCCGGGGACAGACAGGCCAGCCCCGCCCCATGGCTGGTGTCACGGGCCCTCCGGATGAGCCCGGACTTGGCCCTCGGCCCTCGGATGCCTTCTCAACAGTGTCCCAGGCAGCGATTTACAGGTGCAAGTTAGCTCTCAGCAGGGGTGTCACCTGCCTCCCCTGCCCCAGGCTCCTCACCAGTCACCCAGTGAGAAGCTTCTAGGCTGAGCCTCAAGCTGTGTGGATTCGCAGAGGCCGGATTTCTCAGCCTCGGTACTACTGACAGTTTGGGCCGGGCCACCTTCTGTTGAGGGGCCCATCCTGTGCGCTGTAGGATGTTTAGCAGCATCCCTGGCCTCTACCCCTCCAGCTGTGACAACCAAGAGTGTGGATTTCCAGACATGACAACACGTCCCCTGGGCCAGCAAATGCATCCTGGTTGAGAACCGCTGATGGGGACCAAGGCCGTTCCGAAGGGGCCCATCAGAGCGGGAGGTGGGGGAGGTGGAGGCAGCCCTGAGTCCCGGGCGGCCCACCTTGTCGAAGTACTTGCAGAGGAGGGCTCTGGTCTCCGCGGACGAGAGGTAGCTGAGCTTGGCCATGAGGTCCATCTCGCACTGGGACAGCAGGGAGGCCGAGGCCCGCAGCACCCGCTGGCGGCACGTGATGGCCTCGTTCTTGTACTCGATGGCGGCGTCCAGGGCCTCGATGGCCTCATCCAGCTGGAAGAGCGTCCGCTCCTCCTGCGGGGGCGGGGGCGAGCCACATTTGAGCTGTCACAGCCTGACCCCAGGGTGTGTGGGGAGTGATCTGCACCCGGGGAGCTCAGACCCCCTACACGGAAGGGAAGGCCTGGCGGGGCTGCTGGGGGGCATATGGATGGGGTCCCAACTCTCGTTCCCACCCAGGAGCTGAGCTGTCAGGCCGGCGGTCCGTGCAGCGCAGGACACGGAGCCCGGACTCCAAGAAGGGAATGGGGCGGGCGGCCGGGCCGGCCCCCGCGTCCCAGGCAAGGGGCTCCAGCGCTGCCCTTCGGGCACACGCCCCCAGGGGGCCCAGCACAGGTACCTCAGGTGACAGCAGGCTGCCCTGCCTCAGCTTGCCGTCGATCTCCAGGCGCTGCTTCAGCAGCGAGTCCTTCTCCTGGCGCAGGGCGTCGATCTCCCCGCGGATCTGCTGCTGGCTCTGGGCGCTGCCCTGCCGCAGCTGCCCGCTCTTCTCGGACAGCTCCTTCTCCAGGTGCTCCAGCCGGCTGGACACGCGCACGATGTCCTCGGTGAGGGCCTGGGGCAGCACCGGGCGTCAGGCCCCGGCCTCTCCAGCAACAGACGGCCCGCGGGCACAGAGGAGGCTGAGGGCTCGCTGAGGCGCTCGGCCCTACAGCCGCTCGAGCACTGGGGGCCCCAGAAGCTGTCTGGGAGGAGGGGGCAGACAAGCAGAGGACAAGGCACCCCTCCCGAGGACAGGGCAGCATGGGGTGGTGGCCTGTCCCTGAGATGCCTTGGGTCTGTGACGGGAATTACGGGAAATTAGTGGCCAAACCCCAAAGACCTTTCTGGGAGCCTGGAGACGGAGGAAGTGGCACATTCGGAGAATCTGGCAGCACCCCGACCCCTCCCAACTTCCGAGTGCCACCTGAGTACCCGCCGCTGGGACAGGCTCGGGTTTTGTGTCTGGCATGCGCCCTGGAGTCCTCACAGCTACGTTAGGCTCAGAAGCGTCCCATTCCCGAGGGAGCCCATGAAGCCCCGTGGAGCCAGGGGCGGCCAGGCCTTTCAGCCTCCGTGCCAGTGAGGGCTCTGTCTCTGGGCCACAGACCACCCGCCTCTCCCGCCCGCGCCGAGCCAGAGCCGGCGTGGACGAGGGGAAACAAACGGTGCGGAGGACACTGGGAGAGGTTCCGCCCACACATCTGAAGCTGCAGGGAGGGCGCCCACCTGGCTGGACCGCAGGCGCTTGCTCTCCAGCCCCGTCTTCTCCTGCACCAGGGCCTCCTTCTTGGCCAGGATGGCCTCGCGCTTGCGCAGCTCCTCGCCCAGCTCCTCCAGCGCCCGCCGCTGCTGCAGCACCTTCTCAATCTCCTGGTCCAGCCACTTCTTCTGCTCCTCGATCTTCTGAGGGACCGTGGGGGAAGCAGGGTGGGCGCTCGGGCTCACGCTCACCGCGGGCGGCCCCCCGGGGCGGCAGCGGGTGCCTCCGTGTGCCCACCTGCTGCTGCTCCAGGCTGACCACGGAGCCGCTGCTGCCGCTGCGCCGCTTCCTCTGGAAGGCCGCGATCTCCTCTGTCTTGATCCTCAGGATCTTCTGCTGCTGCTCGTGCTTCAGCTCCAGCTCCTGGGGGCACACAGGGGAGAGGCTCGAGGCGGGGCTGCGTGTGCCTGCCTCCAGCTGGAGGCCCACAGGGGCACCTGCCCCTCCCGACAGGGCCCTGCACAGCGTCCCTAGCCTCACGCCCCTACGTCTCGCTGGGGAGCAGCAAACGGAAGCAAACACTGATCAGCTCCTACAGTGAGGCGCCCACTGCCTCAGAGCGCTCATCGCACTGAGTTCACGGAATCCTCACCCTGGCCTTGACCTTCCTGTCACTCCCCTCAACTTGCAGGGGAGAACAAGAGAGGCTGAGTAGCCTGCTGGAGGAGGCCACACGGCTGTGAGCAGCCAGGACATGGGGCACACGCCCAGCTGAGAGCCCAACCTTGACGCGGTGCTGCCGCTTGCTCATCTCCGTCTCCAGGCGCCGCTTCTGCTCCGTCTCCTCACGAAGCCGCCTCTGCAGCTGCGCCTGCTGCTGCCGCATGAGCCGCACGTTCCTCTCGAGCTCCTGTAGCCGCTTCTCGCTTTGGGCGGACAGTGACGCCAGCCGCTCCGTCGCCTGCTTCT